CCCCCCCCCCCCCCCCCGCCACACGTCGAGTACTATCGCCATTTCCACTGCCTTCATGTGCTTCAATTCTCAGTTGTTTAGTTGTACGAGAAGATTTTTTTAATGAACGTAAATTGGACAGTCGTTTCGACATTTTGATTGCTGTTATTTTGTCAGATTGGCGCCGTTGTTTTGATACGTGACGTATGTTACGTGATTACCCATCAAACATTTCTCTCATATTTTTAATAAATAATCAAAATTTTAGTAATGACCCACTTAAACCAAATAATTAGTTTAAGTGATTGGATTTGCAATTTAGTTGTGCTGTTTAATTACATTTTTGTGTTTTTATTAAATTGCCCATGGCTTTAATTTAAGGAGTGGCTTTTTTAAGGGTAGAAGCAGAAATGCTTACTTGAAGGGGCAGCTCTTATATGATATTAATCATTCAACCTTTATTTAGACAGGTAAATCCCATTGAGCCTCGAGGAACTCATTTACAAGAGAGACCTGATATTAGAAAGCTCGTAAGTGGCTGTTATGTTTAAAATGAGTGTTTATGTAATTATTTTCAGATTACATATCCAATATAGGTTTTATTTGTTCAAGGCAGTCAAATCTGTTCATAACTTTAGTATTAGTAAGCCTGAGAGTTACCAGATCCAAGCAAACAGTTACCAGAACGCAACCTGCAAAAAATAAGAGAGTTCCCGATCCTGTTCCAGCAGGATCTGGCTCAAATTAAGTCCTGCTAACATCATTCAACCAGGACTCGATGTACCTGATCACATCAAGACAGAACCAAAAGTCATCCAACTACGACACAATATTCATAATATAATAATCCTCTCATAAAATACAGATTATAGCAGCTGCACCCAGATGAACAAAGGACTCTGTTGATGCAGATACAGCTCTTGTTAACTTCTGAGTCTGCTGTCCCAACACAGCTTAATGCATCTGCATTCATCAGTCTACAGGCCTAATATGAAGCTCAACACCATCGTAAAAAAGTCTTTTTGGCACTGAAACTGTAATGTCTTTTTGTATCTATTGATTGTGACAATTACAATTCAAGGCTGCTCAGATGGTTAGAATGACTTTTTGCTTCTTAAAAGCATCAATTCTTGGACAACCTGATTTGCTGTGAAGACCAACAAAAGTTTTACCAGCTTATAAAAGAGCTGCACAGCTTTCATGACCTGTTTTACCATGTCAGTAATCCAGTTTAATAATCCGCAGACGATAATGGAACCAAACATTGTCTGCTTTCAGATGCCATTTTCAGTAGCACTTTGAGCAAACAATTTAATAAAGTGTCGCAAAAAAAAATCTAACCTTTTAAAATTATTTGATGAATCAAAAATATGCCATAACATGAGAACATTATCACTTTATTCTCCTCTTGACATTGGAGGCTGATCAAAATTTGCCATAGCATGCAAAGAAATGCCAATTTCAGCAAAGCTAAAGCAAGAATCATGAATTAACGCTTCACTACTTTCTTTCAGATTATTTAAATCTACAAGTAGAAAATAACTCAGATTTCAGTGCAGTTTATCATCCTCACTTCTTTTGAACAGACTGCACTGCCACTAGCATGACCAAAAGTATCACCATAAAACAAACTGTGGTTAAAATCTGGAAACCATCATTTAGCTGCAGCATAAAACTGAAAGCTTTGCCTGTTATATGCTTCATAAATCGCCCAAACCTTTACAATATACAGTTTTCAGTTAATGGACTAAAAACAGCCATACCACAAGTGAGATCCATTAACATCCAATCCATAGGATCAAGTGTTTTAAAAATGATAATTACATTTATTGGCAGCCTAATGGGTACAGTATAGCATGCACAATTTAGTAAATTGGTTCGAATGCAAATAGAGCTCATTGGGGACATTGAAAATATTATGATGATCTTGGTTCTTGTTCAAACTGACTTTAACAGGAAAAAAGAGGTGAACAAATACATCAAGGATCAGTCGTTATTTTTGAATGATGTCATTGTATCATCAGAACTAAAAACTAAATGTGACAGATGATTATGGATTCCTGCATGTCTATTTAAGCTCTCTGGTGAAACAACCTCTAAAGTAACTTGGCAGATAATGAACTTGATGACTAAGTGTTTTAATTATTGGCAAACCTGTAATAATTCAATATCTGTTAATTGTTATGACCGCTCTATTTGTAATGGACCTAATGAACAATATGTGCTCAGAAGAAGTATAGTATAGCACGCAGGTAAACACTTCATAGCAGTTCTGTTTGACTCTTCAGGTTGTGTTTCAATGGTTATCAAAGGTTTCTGGTAATAATATGATGATTTCACCTGTTGAATTGGATGCCAAAGTTAAAAAAAACTAAACAAAGATTACGTGAACTGTCAGAGCTGATTGGTGCAGACTGTTGGTGATAAATCTCCAATTACCACACCTAATATTAGCTCAATTAGGTCAAACTGACTGAGTTGTGGTCATTTTTGTGTACACTAATATCAATAAGCTGTGAAGGCCACGTTAAATGAAGGTGACTCCAAAAGTTCATCTGTTATAAATGCACATCTATTACTTCCTGAGTGTTTCACTAAAATATGTCTTCTGCTTCATGAGAAAGGACATTTTATGTTCCTAGGACATCCATTAGCGCTCTCACCTACTACCACACTAAACTTTAGTTCAGTATCTGTAAAACTGACTCAGTTATAGCCATTTTTTGTGTCTGCTACGGTTAATTATCTGTGGCTGCCATCTTGAATAAAGTTGCCTTCAAACATTAATCAGCTGTTACTTTTTAAAAATGCTGTTAAAATTTTAACCACTGGTTCATGACATGTGTGGCTCACACACAGACTCACACATGGGCAATTACTTTATCTCCTACCTTTCATGGCAAAAAGCAGTAAAAAGGTTAAAAAAAAAAAAGTACAACATGTGACTTCCTTTGGGACTGAGCTACATTTCAAAGTTCCCAAGAAAGAGATCTCAGCACAGCCATTAAACTGAGCCCTAAAGGGAAAGACGAGGACTGCCGGTGACACTTCACATGCTGCCCCGTAGCTCACCTGCAGACGTCAGCGCCGGGAATGTACTGCGACAGGCGTGAGTGCAGCAGTGGAATAAGACGCAGGTCCACCCATCTCTTCTCCCAGCGAAGCCCCGGAGATGTGGGCCAGGACGAGCAGGACAGCGTGTCCTGCCGCGGGAGGGACAGAGACAACATTTCACACACTTTTCAAACGGCACACATGTCAAGAGCCTGAGCTCTGCTGCCATGGCAGCTGCACACAAAAAGGCAGGGAGAGCACAAGCTGCAGATTACAGCTGATTCACCCTTTTTTCAAGCGGCAAAGATAGAGCATCGCAGTTATCAGCGAGCCCCATCAGTTGCATGGAAACAAGTTGCTGGCACTGAGAACGCTGCTGCGTGGATACCGAAGGACGGTTATAGAAGCAGTCAGTCACAGACGAGGCTAATGAACAGTACCGTGTTGTTCGGGTGGTAGTTTAGGTGCAGGCCGCTGTCACAGAGAGGAGATGAAGTCCCACTACTCTGGTCGCTGGGGATGCCTGAAAATAAAGGCAAAAAAAAACTCAGAGCAACACCGCCATCTGTTTCATCAGTAAAAGCAGTTTTACTTTGTTCTGCTCCACTGCCAGCTTCAGCTTTACACCCATTTGTATTCAGCCGACTGTCTGAACGGCCAGTCAACCTGGCCTACATACACTAATGAAAAGAGTTTACAAAAGCTTTTATGTCTCATGATGGACTGAAGCTCTCTCATGAGAGAGCAATCAATTGCGCCACAATGAGCAACACAGCATCTATTCTTTCACTTTCATCTTTAGCACCTTTTGTGACGCTCGAGATGTGACTCACCTCTTGGTTTTTCTCTGTAGCGTCTTTATCCGGAGCTCAAAACGAAAACCAAACAAAACGGATGAATTTATCTGTTTGGTATTTTTTTTACTCCTAATTTTTTTTTTCTGACACTGGTTTGAGATTATTGTTTCCAAGACAACCACTTCCAGACAGAAAATAACGCCAGCTAAAAATAATCCCTGTTAATTACTTTCCACTGCTGTGGCAGCGATGCACTTAGACCAAATACTGGAGAGTTA